TCGTCGACATGGCGGACCATCCAGATGGGTTGCCGAACTTTCGCAGTCTCAATTTATTGCTGTCATAATGAAAGCACGAGCAATACAGAGGGCCTCACGATATGACCTTGCCATGAATTACTACGGCCCAGAGTAATTTCAAGATGAGAGACACAAAACAACAAGTGCCAGATGAGGTGTTACTCAAGACATCTGAGTGAAACTGAGTGAACACGGAGACCATGAATCACAAAACTTTGAAAAAAACGATTTTAATAATTATTTGTCAATGTCCAAATTGCAAACACAGACATGGTGGCGGAAAAATTGAGAAATAGGGTCCCTAGATTTTACTTTGGGGGAGCGTCACCACCACCGAAACTTGCCGTCCATCCGTTGAGGGGCCAAGAGATGAACTTTTCCGAGTTCATGTATTGTTTGATTTTAGGCAACGCCTGGAATGCAAAGGAAAGTGCGCAATAAGTCATAGAACACGAAAAAAAGTGCGAGATAAAAAGGCACGTACCTCAAAGCGTTCGATATACTCTCTGAGATTAGGATATTTGTCGAAACACGACGGCTCAAAAATGTGGAATACGCAGAGATTTTCGTAGAGGACAAAGTCGGCGTAAGTGATCTGCGGAAGAAACGTAGTTGCCAGAAATGACGGCACAAAACGATAAGAAAACAGATATCAAGCACGATAAACACGAGATGTAAACTACAAAAGACTTACGTTGTCACCAATTAGCCATTTCTTACTGCCGAGGTAAGTGGAAATATCCTCAATGCCCTTTTCAAATTTAGGCATAAAACCAGGTCGTTCTTCCTCCTAAAACACCTTCATGAAATATGCTAAGGAAACCTACGTAGTTTGGACTGTACGCAATTCGGGCAAAGGCAATTCGCAAATCCTTGATCGCGGCCTCAGCCATGGCGATTTCAGCCTGTTCCTTCGCGCCTTTGCCTCCAAGACCATGCTTCTCTCCCAGATAACGCAGAATTACGCTTGACTGAGAGAGTTTCACATCGCCGTCAATAATATATGGAAGCTGAAGCGGTATGCTTATCAGCGAGTCTTCTTACATTCGGAAAGCCAATACCAAGCGTGTATTTCATTTCTTTCCACTTTTCAACATCAGTCTTCTCAAATCGCTTCTCTTGATAATCTTCCCCAACATACTCAAGTAGAAGACGGATAGGCTGTGCCAACTGGGTTGGAGACACAAAAAAAAATTTAGAGTCAATTTTGCAGATGCTGACGTGGGCAAAGTAAAGTTTGCTAATATATTAGTTGTAGTTAATACGAGAAGTATGAGGGCGGAGTTTGAGACAATTGCCTCCCACCTCTCAATTTTCATATAAACATCAGTCCAAAAGTGCTACACACAATATCATCCGTTCTGAAATCCGAGCTTTATGACATATTCACTATTATTTGTCTTCCTATGCACCGGTATCCATCCCAATAACACCGAAAATTGTTGGCGTCGCATGTTTATATAAAACAGTAACTGAGGGCTATTTCTGACTCTAAGGACTGTCGCAGAAAGAGTGATTTAGATTAGCTCCAGTGCCGGTTATTGCATAATTTTCACATCCAGGGCTACTGGAAGAGACCTTAAATCATTTATTGGACATGTTTTAAAAGTAGATACTGCAGTATGAACTGTAAAATTGTTTTTAATTTTACCCTTTTACTTAATTGCGTATATGAGTGTTTTAGCTAGGACCGTAGCAAGCACACGAGATGGAGAGGACGAACAAATATGGATGCAAGAGTCAGAACGAGAATACCCTATAACAGGGCTTTATTCAACTTATAATTGACGTATTTGAACTAAAACGAGAACTAGAAAAGTAGTAGATTAGATGGAATTTAGCCAGGGCCCTATGTTAGCATGAAATTCACCCCGGCCAACAAATGGAGGAATCGAGATGCCAATAAACAATAGGAAACGTTAGCATGGGGCAAATTTAAGGCGTCTCTGTTACGAAGACTGTATGAGTGAACACGTTGTTATTGTCGGATTGATGTTTCCAGGCTATGTATACCAACATCGTCGGCGTTAAGTACACTAACGGGTGTTGCATCATTTTGTTCGTCAGTTGAAACGGTGCTCGGCAATGGGTGGGTGGTCAGGAAAAAGTGGGAAAAAATCTTCGGGTACCGGCGTGGCCATCTCCTGGTGGAAATCACCAACATCCTTTTCACCGCTGGGAGCAAGCAGTCGAACAGATACCGTTTCTTCTCTGCCATTACTGAATCGTATATGAGAATATTAGGGGTTAAATTAGAGTAATTCTACCTCCTCAACAAGCGGATCAAACTTTGGCAGCTGATTGCTCTTCAGCAAAACTCTGCCAGGAGAGGTAAGCCACATGGGGAGAGTAATGCCAGTAGTTGAACTCCTGTTGTGGACAAATATTCTCTCATGAGGTGTTGCATTAGTGGCAGTACACAAACGTGATCCGACTGAGTGTAAAGCATCAAGTAAGACGGATTCCCAGTGTTTGATGGACAAATTTTGCGCTTTTAGAGCAAGCAAGATAGCCCTCCATAAAGCTTGGTTCAAACATTCGACCTACCCATTTTCTTGGGGATTGTACGGAGTTGTTATACTCGTTGCCACTTTCTTACTGCAAAGGAACTGCTGAACTTCATTTGATATAAATGACGATCTCCGGTCGGTGTGTAAGTACGAAGCAGTACCAAAAATGGACAAGAGCTGACACGAACATTTAAAGACAGTTCCAGCAGTCTGATTGGGACAGGCAAACGCAAACGGGAAACGAGAATATTCATCAGTAATCGTCAGCAGATAGCGGCTGTGAGTTTTCGACGGAAGAGGACATTTGAAGTCGAGTGACAATCGTTCGAACGGCTGGGTGGCTTTGAGGAGTTGGCCTTGTGTTTTAAATAAGCGGGGTTTGACTTCAAAACAGGCCTGACATTTAGCGACGACATTACGAATCTCTTCCATCGAAACGGGGAGATTCCGAGCTCGAACAAAGTGCGAAAGCCTAGAGACACCGGGATGATGAAGTGTCTCGTGTAGTCCTTTTAGATAAACACTGATTAGTAGGGCGCCACAGCAATTACTGGAAAGCGTGTCCGCCGCTCGATTTTCTTTACCTGGTCGGTAGACAATGTCAAATTTAAATGGTGACAGTTCCAATCTCCAGCGTTCGATCTTATCATTCTTGTCCTTGGCTTTTTGCTGATTGTTGAAGATGAAGTATGGATTCCACTACGGCGTATGCTTCTTTCTCTATAACTGAATTATGTTGCTCATTTGGAGATAAACTATGTGAAATGAACGCTACTGGTCGATCATTCTGATTCAGTGTGGCAGCGATTTTGAGGTCTGAAGCATCGGTCTCGACAACTAGTGGGGTATTGTACTGAACAGTGGCCACTGTGGCTTTCGCAAATTCCTCCTTAAGAGCATCAAACGCTCCCACTACCTTCAATGGTAAAGGGAAATTTCTGTTATAGCTGAGCAGGCGAACCGTATCTGAAAAGTGCGATACCCATTGTGAGTAGTATGCAAACAGTCCCACAGTTCGTTGTTGGGACTAAAGATCTTGTGGAGGAGTCGTTTCACGCAGAAGCCTTAGACGAATTGGATCTGGCCTAATGCTCCCCTTGGACACCTCGTAACCAAGTTTAATTTCCTTAGTAGCGATAACACTTGTGGCTTCATTGAATGTTAGTCCGTACTTTTCAGCCGCGCTAAAGAAGTTTTTAAGGGTTGAATCATGTTTCGCAAGGCCGTCTCCACAAACAGTAATATTGTCAACGTATACGAAAATATTCCTTAGACGTTCTCGTGCAATTATGTCGTCGACGGTCCGCTGAAAGCACGAAACTCCGTTGGTCACATCAAAGGGGATACGACAAAAATGATATAAACGTCCACAAGTTTCAAAAGCAGTGTACGGTCTTTCATCTACCCGGATAGATATCTGGTGATGGGAGCTATTGAGATCGAGAGTGATACGATATATCGTCATCTTTATCGTCTATGGAAACAATTCATCCCCTAGGCCGGCCGGCCTTTCAACACAGCTCTAAAATGGGATTTATGCACATATTACGTTTTTGCTCCCTTCGTGCAAACAATACTTTTTGTAGAACTTTTTGACCCTTTGGATTTTGTCTCTTTGACGATCCTTACTACTAGCACCTGTTTTAAATAAATTTTCAAAATTTTTGTAAAAAGCATACTAAAACAGAAAAAAGAGGAGGAACAAGCGGTTAGGGGTCGGGTAAGGGTTGTCCGGTTAAAAAGCGAGTGTCTTACTGCGCAGATTACGCGTAGAGCATCTGCGAAGATTATACGCAGACTAAGTGTGACGACGTCTACGCAGATTCTGCGATGAATGGTCTAAGCGTTTGCGCATATTATAGGCATAATTGTCATTAAGGATATTCTACAGGTCTATATATATGTACATTTAAATACATTCTATATATGTGTATGTACATATATTCGTTCTTCGTTGCAACGATTTTTTTCTTTTCTGAGGACTATTACCTTAAAATCTACCAGTGAGAGAGGGACCCCGAATTGAGTCGTGACAGCTGACATAACGACATTGTGTTACATAAAACTAACAGAACACACAACGCACCCCGCGAATACTCCAGTACCCAAGTTGAATTGGAGCCATGACGTGCGAGGTCAACCCGAAATGCGGGTACTTATAGTAGCAGTTGTCTGCGTAGTCCAATAAAACAAGCATTGAGATTAGGAACTGATTATTAAATTTTAATGCCCTACCATCTCAGATCAGAATGCAAAACCGGACAGTCAATCAGAACTCACAATTTATCGGTTATGATGCTGCACACTATCATAAGTGATATCTTGTGCTGGTAGAGTGGAGCCTCCCTACCAGCACCTGCATGAGCATAAAAATACACAACATATTAACTAAGGCGAATAAACTCAGTAGAGAGCATCCTTTTGACCGTAGTCCATAATACACTGCGCTAGTGGTTTGTAAAACTCCATCGTAAAAGCATCCACGCCTTGCACTGATTCCATCCCCTCCCTTATTCTTCATAATATTGAGTGACTTGTCACCGTATTAAATGAAATGATGCCGATATGGAAGTTCGTATCTTCGATCAGAAGAATCTAACTGATCTCATTTCACAGAGTTTCCTTTCGTGACTAAAAGTGGGATAAGTCATATCTCTGGGCTCCGAGCTCCGAGCTCCCCTTGATTCGATAATAGATATTGAATCTTCAAGTGCTACAGGGGCTCCCGAAAATAATTGGCGCATATACTTGCCCTATACATTTGGTTGTTTCCTCGTGGGCGTCAGAGTTACCTTTAGCTAATCACGGTTACAATAGGTGGATGTGAATTATGAATGCTGCGGTCTATACCAAATTACCCGACAAATTATTATCCATCTATTCAAAAGCCTGTGCAAAGCATCCACGTTACGTCACAGCTGGAAGACTTTGGGCTTCTTATTGATGATCAAGTGCATAGGCTAAGGAATGAAGTCGGAACGAACACCTATGACAAATGAGAGAATAAAATTAGCAAAGTAATGAAACGCTGAATAGACAAACACAGTGGGCTGCTAATGGCAAGATTGAAATGGAGCACCGCTTAAATAAATTACCAAATTTTACAACAAGCGTCAAAATAGCGTCAGATCAAATCAAAGACAACACATGACTCGCCAGTAAAGAATGAGGTTGGTCACGCAAAAAAGTAAAATCGAAAAATACAGTTGATTGTTGGAGAAAGTGTGCGCTGACAATTACCTAATGAGCAGAGCACATTAGGTATTGACCACCATAAAACTGCCCAACCACGAATCCAAGTAATTAAAACTTCACATTGTTCCCTACTTAAAGGACTGGGCATATATTTTCAATGCATTACCTAAGCTGCCACTGTCAAGCCTCATTTATTTGTAGAGAGTAGGTTTATAAACGGTATTATGATGGTGCGATCAACAAGCTACAGTCGACAGGTGAAATTGCTGGGCCACTAAGGTCCTCTTTGTTCTCCAATCATGTCTGGAAAGCATGTCCGAAGAATTTGCTCTTTCGCATCTGAGGAACATGCAAGAATACCTTTAAGGATTTGTGTCTGAAGCTCATACCACGTCTATGCTTACAGATAATAAGAAAGCCATGCTTTGAAAGGGATATTGGAGCAAGAATGGGCATGCTGTAGCTTCAGGTCTACTGAAGCTTTGTGCACGCTTGAGCCGTACTTGATGAGCAAACAGAAGGCTCTGTTAAAATTAAACTGTTAGGAACTCCGTGCCTCCTATGAGATTTTAGATGTCATGACAAGCGTGTCGAGATTACAAACGAAGTTAATTCTGTTTTGAGAAGGAATATTGCAGCAAAATAATTTTGCTTCGATAAGAACTAATACCAGCTGATTGATGGGCATCGAGGGCTATGTAGTCGAATGCTGAGGTTTGGATTACTCCTCAGGAACGGGGCAGCCAGCCGATGGACAACTGGTATCGTATGTTTGATTATATCCAGATATAAGGTTAGGGTATAGCCAAGGCAAACGCAGAGAAAATGAATTGACTTGGCTGTAAATGAAGTAAGTGGCATAGTTAGTTGTATATGAGGGAGAAAGCTCTATGGAGTGGGTAGTGTATGATCACATAGCAAAAACCATACTCTTCAATTGCGGACATTTTGGCAGTTTTGGGGACTCATAAGGGCTGCAGCATTAGAAAGCATATCTCTCGAAGACCGCCAGGCCTTTGGGTGAGAGTCCGACCACCCAGCCTGACCATATCCACAGTGAGTTTCACAACTTGCTGTGTGCGGGAAGGCGACTTGTGCGTGAATTAATTTGTAGTGATTGCAGATCTGCGCAGAATCATCCGAACCCTCTACACCCGACTCGAACTCGATGTCATGACAGAGAGACGAAGACCGAAGGAAGGAAAAGGCTCAGGTGGCCGACACTGCGAAAGCCCACACAGTGCGCCTGCCACCACGCTGACTCGGAACTCATTGAGTGAGAGTGCCCTAGAGGCCATATCAAGAAGGAGTCATTACAGCCTGACTCTCAGTCCAGCAGTCGACCAGTCAACACAAACACATACACCGAGCTGACTGCGAGGTCTGTGTTGAAGCATCAGCTAGCAACCTTCCAAACCACGGCTTTTAGCCCGCCGTGATAGCCTCGAGTGCGTCAGACTGTTTGTAGTGGAGAAAACACGCTGAGTCTTCGACCTCACCCTCTATTCCCACACAGGCACTAGCCACTTTTCGAGCGGGTCAGCTGTCTGGTGTCGGGAATAGCGCAGTGGTCGACATATCTAGTGGCCTCGTCTGCGCGTGCCACATACATGACCTGCCAACTCCCCCCCCCTAACACCATTACCAGGATTTCACTCGACAGGGGGTGGGACACATGCATCTCACATGCCTGGGAATACCAGAGGTCACGTTAAAAAGCAGCCATTGCATCGTGGCTGTCAGCCCACCAACCGGCCTCTCAACACAAATACACAAATCTTGGCTGGCTGCGTGGACTGGGCTTAGGGGTCAGCCAGCAGTCTTAAAAGTCCCGGAGTCTGTGGCGCCGTGATAGTCTCGAGCACGGGTCACATATGCGTGAGATCAGTCACATGGAAAAAGAGCCGAGAATCACGCTTCTCCCTTACATCAGAGGTGCCAATGGAGTGCTTTCGTTGTGCGATGACGGTTGGTGTTAATGTGTTTTGCCGGTGCTGATGAGTGGAAGTGGGATCGTATAGCATAGTTGACGGTGTTCGGCCACAGGTTTGCATGAATGCACATGCGACCGAATAGATCCCTGCGGCGACTGAATGTGCGAGGGCGATGCAGGCAATTGAGGCGAGGGCGTCTGGTGCATGCTGGTGTCCAAGACGCCGTTTTCCCAGTTTCCGTGCGACGGATTCGTAAGCGACCGACCAGGCCGATGTGTGAGGTCAGTGTGCGGTCACAATGAGGATAGATCTGAACAGAGTCGTGGACGCGGATGTCGTTCCACGGTGGAGGAATGCGAGAGACTGTAGTGTGGGGGGAGCCCGTCGATGTGATTGACGCCGGGGTTGCAGCAGGGGTTTGTGCCGGCGATCGCTGGCAGCAGAGCGTCATCATTTTGGCTCCCTGTGACGGGGATGGGCGTGGTTGTGGCGTATGAGGCAGAAATGACGACGGGTGTGATCATGAAGGGAGAAGTTGACGATGACGGTTTGTTGTTGTATTGCTTCCGAAGGTGTCCTACGAGGCCCAGGCATACTAGTCTGTTTATTGTGGTTGCATTTGCGTTAGGGGTCGACATCGTTCGTCCTGTCTTTTCCTTTTAACCAGTTGACAGTCCGAGCCGGTCAATCAATTGATGCTGAGTTTGGAAGAGATGACTGACAGAGTTAAAATAGCCTATCTTGGCACATATTTCCGAGGACTGAAATCTCGCAGGAGGCACGGAGTTCTTAATACGTATAATCTTATCAGAGCCTTCTGTTTGCTCATTAAGCACGATGCAAACGTGCACAAAGCTTCGGCTAACCTGAAGCTGCAGCATGCCTATTCGCGCTTCGCTGGATTCGTCCTACTGACTGCATCCCAGATTAGACCTGTCTTGTTTAATAGTGGGATGTGCATGCAGCCTGTTTTACGGCTGATATCCTCAAAGATAGGAAGCCGTTTAATTTCCGCTTTACAGAGGTCAACGTTACGAGACTGCGGAGGTTCGAGTGCCTTTGAATGTTTTCCCCACTGAGATTTTGCGGCTTCCAATTAGGAATCGGCTGTCGGATATGCTCTTTGGGCTGTCGCTGTTGCTAGATGTAGACCAACAGAATGACTGCTTGGTGTCCTTATATCTCAACTCAAATTTTGCTGGACGATGTAGCTTTCTCGCACATAGAGAGCATGTTTTTTGTGCAAACGATATGGACTAATAACGGACACTCATAGGGGGTCACCAAAAAGATAACAACTAATGCCAGTCGCTTAATCTGGTCACGCTATCACTTCATATGCAGGATTTTGTAAGACTCTGGCAGTCCAGAAAAAGTTTACAAAAGACACCGGTGTTCAAGCAGCCTCCTTATTCTTTACTCTGACATACATCTTTAAATCCAATATTTTTCTTGAGTATAGTTCATGTGAGAGGAAACAAAGCCAAAGTTCTGTGTTGGGTTTAGCAACGGCGGCCGAGGAGCCAAATAACTGAATGAGGAGCTCCTTCCCACGACTGCTTTAAATGTCATTAGACGCGCACGTCGTTGGCAGCGGGACCGGTTCGAAGACATCAGCCAGCGCGGTTGTGCACAACCGTTCGAAATCCTCTGATCCGAGATAAGTTGAAATTTGTTTATAATGGAAATATTTGGCATATTTCTGCGTCGATTTTCAACCGATTTTTATTAGCTATCAAAAATAACACATAAATCCCTAAACACTCCCTCCAATTAACCATGGCCGATGTTAAGTTTGCTGTCGACAAAGTAGATCCTTCGGCCACCGTACGCTCGCAGAAGTTTGTCGAGAAACATGACCACATTTTTACTCTTCTCGACTCACTAACAAACTCAAATACATTCACGAACAGCCTAACGAGCCTACCACAAAAAGAATCGATCATATATTTGGTTTCACCCGGAGTCGCGGATAGATCAAAACGCAGACTCACTTTATTTATCCGCAATATACCTCACACGGTTAACCCAACACCATCAATTCAAAATCTTGTACATTCATGTGGCC